AGGGAGGGCGGCAGTGGGGGAAGAGGGGCTGTTCGAAAGAAGAAGGGATGGAGTCTGGGGGGTCGGGAGAGGAGGAAATTCCTCCCTCATGACAGGCCTTGGCCCGCGCTTTGGGACACTTCTCAGCTCCTGTAACTTGGAGCGGGTGGGGCTAATCAGCAGGATGCTTTTGCGCTACTCCGAAATGGTTTTCCGAGCTCCTTTGCAATTTGAGCCAAGATCTTCTTTGATCTTAAGTACAGTGGTCGATACCTGATCACTTACATGTAGTTAATGGAATCTTAGAATGGTTTGCGTTGGAAGGGATCTTAAAGATCATCTAGTTCCAACTAGCCCAGGTTGCTCCGAGCCCTATGTAGTGCTTCCAGGGATGGGGCAGCCACAGCTTCATTGGGCAATTTGTGCCAGTGCCTCACTATCTTCTTGGTTAAAGTATTTCTTCCCAATGTCTAATCTAAACCTCTCCTTGTCCTATCACTATATGCCTGTGTAAAAAAGCCTGTCACTCTGTTTTTTATAAGCCCTCTTTTAAGTACTGAAAGGCCACAATGAGGTATCCCTGGAGCCTCTTCTTGTCCAGGCTGAACAGCCTCAGCATTTTGGGCCTGTCAGGAGCTCCAGCCCTTGGAGCACCTTTGTTGGTTGCTCTCCTTGGACCTGCTCTAACAGGTCTTGTGCTGAGGGTTTCAGAGTGGATGCAGTACTTGTGGTGGGGCCTCACAAGGGTGCAGCAGATGGTTATTGAAGCCATTTTAGGTTTAAGCGTACTTTGGATGAATCATGGTATGAGACACTTCCTATTTGCCAAATTGGTCCATAAAATCTAAAACGTTGTGGGTTTATAACTTTTTTAACATGAGGCATATTTAGCTGCAAGTATGGGAAGAGTAGAATTTTTCACTGAGGCTTTGAACAAAGAATCTGAAAGATGTAGGCAAATGCCTCTACGTGGGTCTTCAACTTGATCCAAAGATGACGTGCAGGTCATAACCTGAATGATTCCCTTCCAGATAAGGACCTTGAGTAGCATTTCCATCTGTTTTTTAGAGGTGGATTATAAAGATAGAGAAGGGATTAGATGATGTGAATATATATTTTTGTCCTTCCTTAATCTTTTGCTATCAAAACCAGAGGACAGGTGGAGGAGCATGTAGTTACTGATTGTGCTTTCAAGGAAAACAAAGGCAAAACTAGAATAAATTAAGAAAATGAAGGATTGTTTCTAAGACATTGAGAAGTTGAGAAAATGGAAGCAGTTGAGAAATCAGAAAGAAGGAAGATAGCAAATTTATGTGACAGGGATAAGGAAACAGGGTGTCTTCTGTTGCTAGTAAAGAACAGGTCATCAGATCCTTATTTTTTCTAAATTGGAAAAACTCTGATGAGCTTCTGGGGAAAAGTTGGATTTGATTTTTGATGTGCCTGTTCAGTTATATTCTGTCTTGAGCCACCTGAGGGATGTGTTTTACCTATTTGCAGCTGTCCTGGATAACGAAAGATTAACAGCAGAGGAAATGGATGAAAGACGACGCCAGAATGTAGCCTATGAATACCTTTGTCATCTGGAGGAAGCAAAGAGGTAAGAATAAGTGGTTTTGCATCTGCTGGTGCTTTAAAAGAAGTTGTGACATTTGATAAGGGGAATAATTTGGATGCATTTTGCCTCTGGTCTCTGTTTCTTAGTCACTGTATAGATTCATTGAAAGAAATAACCAAGCGAACAAACATCCCTCCCAAAACAACTGACCCCTGGTGTGCTTATCTAACATGTTCTCTAAGTCTTTAGGACAAGGAGTCCACAGCTCTACTGCTCCAGTATTCCTAGCGCTGGATGTGTTCTCTCTGTTGCCTAACTTGCATATGTCTTGGTGCAGTATTACCTCCCTGCTTAACATGCTTCCTTGCTTAGCAATGGACATGCAAAACAGCTATTCCTTTCCTCTTAACTGCAACCTCTTACAATTTAAATTGTAACAGTGTATTTCCCTTGCATTTATCTTCTCTTAGACCGACAATTTCTCTGCAAATCCTATTTAATAGGTCTGTAGTACTTTTCCCTGGATGGCACTGACTCCTGTCCAGGCACTGTGTCTATGTGGAAGTGCACTGTCAAAACAGAGAAAGCTGCTTCAACAGGTTGTCAGTGTGCATATTTGTGAAGAGCACAAGGGTTATTTCGTGTACCCCCACAGATTTGCATGATATCTGTGCTTTCATGATGTTATCATGTAGTAGAGTTTTGCTGAGTTGGCACCCTTTTCCTTGAAGTTGTGCTGCTGAAATTTGTTCCTCATCCTGTATTTATAGGGTTTACTGTGTTTTACTGTGCGTGTTACCTCTCACTTGATCCTGCTTGTGAAGAGCACAAGGGTTATTTCGTGTACCCCCACAGATTTGCATGATATCTGTGCTTTCATGATGTTATCATGTAGTAGAGTTTTGCTGAGTTGGCACCCTTTTCCTTGAAGTTGTGCTGCTGAAATTTGTTCCTCATCCTGTATTTATAGGGTTTACTGTGTTTTACTGTGCGTGTTACCTCTCACTTGATCCTGCTCTGCTGAATTAATGTGTAGAAATAATTTTGATCTTAATCCTGTCTTCCAGCGTGTGTGTAGCTTCTGTGTCATCTCCATGTTTAATAGGCATGTAAGCATGCTCAGTGTCTTCATTTAGACGATTGAAAGTATGATCAGAACACAGTATGTCCTGTTAAAGGAAAGAGAACCGATAGTAAAGATCAATGCAGGAAGTCTTACTGTGGCTATCCTATGTGCTATACATGGAGAACAGGAGTGAGACAGACCAGTTGCTGCTCCCCTTCATGACAGTTGGTTCTTTTCATGCCTTTGTATTAATTGAATTTTTCTTACTTGAAATTTGAAATTTTTCTTTAAGATGAAGTTGAGACTAGTTGACTCCTGTTGCCCTCCAACACTTCTCAGAGTAAGGAAGTGTTCCAGGTTGGGTTTTGTGATTAGCCAGGAAATGGATTGTCAGCTTAGGCTGTCCTTGCTCCCAGAAATACCTAGGTGAATTAGCCAATGTGTATGCCACAGAAAATAACTTCTGGAGCAGTGGACAAGTACGGAGCATACATAAAAATGTGTTTGAAATAGCTGACAGCATGTTTCATCATGGCTCAGTGAACACTTCACTCTGCCTTTCTCCTTCAAAAGATGATATGGATTAAGAGACAGAAAACTTTCATAGGCTGGGTGATGAATTTTGTGTAAATCTGTGTAATTCTTCCTCTGAAAAACAGACATGCTCTACTGTAGTGATTTTATTGAGGAGGAAGTGCTGAGTTTGTACAAGTCCACTGCTGGCAGAGCATAAAGAAGCATTTCATTCCAAATTTTAATAGTTTATGTTGCCTTACCAAGAATGTGTAGTATATTTTTGAAAGGGCAGGGAGCACTCAGTTTTTACAGTAGTCTTTTAGGTGCTTCATAACAATTGTCACTACTATAAATTCACGGAGGCTGCTTAGTTACTAATAGATAATAATTTTCCATCCATATGGATTTGGATGAAGCTTGAAGAAGTGAGAAAGATCTGACCATATTTCAAAATAGCTCTTTTCCTTTGAATCCAAAATCTTTAGAAGCCAATGCTGGGCAAACAGGGAGAGATGAATTGCAAGGTAGCCACTGCCCATGCTTGAAGGAGCCCCATATCCTTCACTTGTGTTCTCTTTCTGTCCTTGGCCTTGGATTAAATGCTTGCTAAGATGCTGATTCTCTGTTCAATTCCATGTCCAGATTTGCAAAAGAATTCAGGCAAAAATACCTAACATAGCAACAGCTTTAATATTTTCATTAATTGCTTAATCACAGGGAATTACTCATTAGATAAGTCATCTTTGATTCTAAAGTTTCTTGGTGATCTTGTCTCTGAGTATTGTCTTGGTTGAGCAGCTGGGCTTTTGATTTTTGCTGCCCCCTGTCAGAAAGAAGATGTTTTCACTCTTTTATCTCAGGGAGAGCCTTCAGATGTTTGAAGTAATGCCTAGTATGCTAGTGTACTAATATGCTAAACATTGCCAGTATGTTTTGTAAAGAATGAAGCAACAGGTGTGTTGCTCAAATGCAAGTAGTGACGTTATGGCCTTCTTTGTATCCACCTTGGCAGCTGGAGCACTTATTTGTCAAGTGGAAGGGCTGCTTGGAGAGCCTCAACTCTTGACCCACATTTGCTTAGTGGCCTACAGACTGTACATGTATATGTGAGTGGTTGTTCATGATTCCTGTAGTTGGGGCTGTGCCACTTAACGTAAGAGTTAAAGATTAAATGAGCAGAAGGAGGGGAGCAGACTACTTAGTTTAATCATTAAGATGCATAAGTGAGACCAAAGGCTTGAGTTCATTGTCTGCTCCCAGGAATTTTTTCAGTTGTTTTGTAACATGCACTTTGAATTTAATTTATTCTACTAGTCCAGCCTAGAAGAGGAGACTTGACTGCATTGTTGGTGAGGAGTTTATATAACAAAAACAACTAAATAAGAACTATAAGAGATCAGTTTATTTGAAGTTAATGCCCTTGGTGTGATTTTTTTGACTATTTGACTTCTTTGCCAGTAGTGTATAATTGAGGCATAACGTGAATTAGATACTCTGGCATTTTGTTTGTGCCTCAGAGCTGTGGGAGGGCTTCAATCTTTCTTCATAGTGAGAGGTTGTCAGACTGGAAATTATATCTGTAAGGAGAAGAGAAGGACCTAGTAGCAGAGGGAGAGAGCTGGTGTGCCCTGTGTTGCACTCAGAAGCTGCACAGGGGAAGGTTGTAAAGTCACTGGTGGCTGAGGCAGCTGGAAGGTGCTGAACAGCACTTCGTAGTGGTGCCCCTGCCCCCGAGTCATGTTAGATTATTACATTGTAATGTTGCATTCAGATACTGTTGTTTATATTGATTTCATTTCTACAGCATAAAGACACCTAAACTAATATGAATAATACCTTGCTCATTTGCATTACATTAGCATTGCCAGAGGTTTGCTGTCCCTTTAACCAAGCAACAAACGGAGTCTAGAAGTGATTTGTTTCTTGATAAATGTTAAAGGAAGGTAAGATGATAATTATCTAGCACCTGATTTCATACTGACATGGAGAGTTTTGAAAAGTTTGGGTTTCTGTACTGTCTGTAACAGCAGTAACTCTGAGTATATCATGAAGTTGTTTGAAGTGTCTGTCTGCTAAGGTGCATACATCAGAAGCATTATCAGTGGAATATAAATAACCTGTACTTAGGTAATGGCATTCTGTCTTGTTAATTTGTTTTTTTTCACTGTCACTGTTGTTCTGTTGTTATCTTGCAGTTTCTGATTTCAGTTACTTATGTGCAACAGTCTTGTGAAACAGGAATTATTCTTGCTAGTTAAGGGGAGGCAGAGTGCAACTAAGTTGTTCAAGATTGTGAAAGACATTGAAAAGAAATTTGGAGATGTGTCTCAAGATTGTGAATGGAGGGATTCCTGTACTATGTGTGGACCAGATACCTAATTCTTGAATAAAAATGGCTTTATTAATAAGTGTTGTTTAATACTTCAGGTTTGGTGGTGTTTGAGGGTTTTTTTTGGTTGGCTTGGTTTTTTTTTTACTGTCTCCAAATCACGGAAACATAGAATTTAGAGGTTGGAATGGACCTTACAGATCATCTAGTTGTGTCCTGTCCTCCCCCGCCCCCCCACCGTGTGCAGGGACACCTTTTCACTAGACCAGGTGGCTCAAGGCTCATCCAGCCTGGCCTTGAGCACTGCCAGGGTTGGGGCAGCCACCATGTCCCTGGGCAATCTGTGCCAGTGTCTCACCACCCTTAGAGTAAAAAACTTTTTCTTCTCACATCCAGCCTAGATTTTCCCTCCTCATAGTACTCTAACAGAAAAGATGCGTCAGTGCAGATAAAACTGTAAGAGTATACTTTGTTCTATTGTGATGAGGCAGCTTGTGCCCACAGAAGGGTAAGGGTATATTTATCTGAAATAGAAGCGACCTGAGGGAGCTGGAGGCAGGCTGGTGCACTGTAGTATTCTGCATCAGTGTTGTGTGATAGCCTCTTTTCCACTGTGGGTGACTTGTTGGGGTATTGTGGCATTTTCATGATGAAATAAGCCCTTATCAGTTTGGCAAAGGCTTTTTCAAGCTTTGTCTTTCACTGTGGAATATTTTAGGTTCTCCAAGTGTAACTAGAATGTTGTTGGCTCTCTCATTTCCTTATCTGGCTTTGTGGGTACCATGTGTTTCCTCTGTGATAGGAAATATTTTCGTTCTGGGTTATGTCCTAGCATGGTGTAAGCGTTTCAGTTGCCCAGATTATGTTGTTTCCAATAACTCTGTAACTTGCCTGAGCAGTGTGTTTTTTCTAGAATGCATTGGGATGGAAGCTGTCCATGTGTTTATCTTTTCCTTTTGGGGTTTTCTTGTAGAAAATGTTCCCTATTGAGCAAGAAAAAGATGATGCTTGTTCATTATTGCTGATCTAATCAGCTCAGGATTGAAGCATACTGTCTGTGATCTTGTAGTGATCCACTTCTTTCTGACAGATTGGAAGATGGCTTGGTGTAAACTGATGGAGTCGTTGAGG